AGTATTATCCCTGCTTTACGGATAAGTAAATGGTGACTTGGTTTATAGGACTTTGCCTGAATCACACAACCAGTAAAAGGTATAGTTTGAATTCCTAATTAGCTCTTCTGATCCTGAAACCTGAGCCCCTTCCATAGCAATGCCAGTGATCCAAAGTTCAGCCAGCCAGATGAGAACAGATCCAAGACACAGTGGCATCTATCTCTTAAGCATTTGTGAAGGACTGTGTGTTCCTGTGTTCCTTGCATGATTGACTGACTAGAGCTAAGTGTCTGGTGATGTTGACCAGTCAGTATCTCAGGAACCTGATTGCGGTGGAGTCTGCTTAATATGATTGCTACATTTTCATTGTTTCCTGGGGAAGTAACATGAATTGTTAATGGCAGGAAATTCTAACATGTTTTAGTGTTAGGTTTGCATAAAAAGATTCAGTGAGTACTTTGATTATTACCTTTGTAAGTGTGAATACAAAGCAGTTTCAGCACATTGACATTCTTTTCAATCTAATGAGAATAGGCATTCTCTGGCATATTTCCAGTAGAAAAACTGCTTTTCAAAGGATAGGGTTCTGAAAACATCAGGATCCATGGATTAGGTTTACTATAAAAATATTAACTATTAACATGAACTCAGAAACACTTATTATCAGTCTAGAAATTACTAGAAACTGCTTTTTGTGCTCCAACCAATGAGAATTTTAAACTTCAGTTTGTATTGTGTCAATATAATATTGACAATATTCTGTCAGGTTCCTTTCAACAGTTATTTTAAGAAATAATAGTAAAGTTAGCAAAAAAAGTTTCTTTTTTCTTATTAAATAGGAAAATATAAAATATTCCATCATTTTGGAAACTCATGTAAAAGCTTAATTAAAAAAACTTTTACCTTAAAAAAAATCTACATTCTAGTAGATGAATTTGTTAAAACTAAATTGGAAGTTTGGCCTCTAAAGGTGGAAAAGTACTAAATCGACTAGTTTCTTCTGGTTTCCATTAGTCTTATACTTGTCTTTTTTTTTCTTCTTTTTTTAAGATTTTATTTATTCAAGGGCACCCGGATGGCTTATTCAAAGGCACCCGGATGGCTCAGTCATTAACCGTCTGCCTTCGGCTCAGGTCATGGTCTCAGGGTCCTGGGATTGAGCCCCGCATCAGGCTCCCTGCTCGGCGGGAAACCTGCTTCTCCCTCTCCCACTCCCCCTGCTTGTGTTCACTCTCTCGCTGTCTCTCTCTCTGTCAAATAAATGGATAAAATCTTAAAAAAAAAAAAAAAAGATTTATTCATTTGACAGAGAGAGAGCACAAGCAGGGGGAGTGGCAGGCAGAGAGAGAAGCAGGCTTCCCACCGAGCAGGGAGCCCGATGTGGGGCTCGATCCCAGGACCCTGGGATCATGGCCTGAGCCGAAGGCAGACGCTTAACTGACCAAGCCACCCAGGCGCCTGTATACTTGTCTTTTTATGAAAATAGCAAGTTCTCCTAGGAAAGGATGGAAACTATTATCAGAGCCTTAGAAACATCCCCGCCCCCCCACAAGGCAGATGAAAATCTGTCCATGGAGCTGAAAATCTTTTCCTTTTCTGAGTACAAAATTTCAAAATACACTTTTCTGCTCTTCCTTTCAGAATATACAAGTGTAAAACTTTTTTGCTTATCTTTTATTCTGAAGTGGTTTGCCTTTTTCCTAGGCAGTATGTGAGGTTAGATTATGTAGGTGGGGTTTGTGAGTGCCATTGTGGTTGTATTTCAAGATAATAGAGAAGGGGGAACTATCTTCTGCAACCTTAAGGTTGAATCAGTACCCCTGCCCTCACCCCATTTGCCTTTAAAAACAGTTATTCTCACTTTCAGTCTCTCTGGTGGTGATAACTGTTATCAGCAGTCTTTTAACTGGTATTTGGTGCATAAACTGTACTTGAGTCTCTGTATCCATTTTCTGTACTTTTTTTTTTTATATGAGTGTAATTGACACACAAGTTACATTAGTTTCAGGTGTACAACATAGTGATTCAACAAGTTTATGTATTATGCTATGCTGACCACAAGGGTAGCTACCATCTGTTACCATATAACCTATTATAATATCATTGAGTGTATTCCTTATGTTGTGTGTTTTATTCCCATGACTTATTGATTCCATAACCGGAAGCCTATATCTCCCACTCTCCTTCTCCCATTTTCCCCATCCTCCCACTCTCCTCCCTTCTGGCAACCATCAGTTTGTTCTCTGTGTTTATAGGTCTGATTCTGCTTTTGTTTGTTTGTTTATATTCATTTGGATTTTTTTCAGATTCCACATATGAGTGAAATCATATGGTATTTGTCTTTCTCAGTCTGATTTATTTCATTTAGCATAATTTCCTCTAGGGCTATCCATGTTGTTGCAAATGGCATGATCTCATCCTTATTTATGGCTATATAATATTACAGACAGACAGACAGACACACACACCACATCGTCCTTATCCACTTGTCTATCGACAGACTCTTAGGTTGCTTCCATATCTTGGCAATTATAAATAATGCTACAGTAAACATAGGGGTGCATATATCCTTTCAAATTAGTGTTTTTGTTTTTTTTGGGTAAATATCCAGTTGTAGAATTATTGGATCATATGGTATTTCTGCTTTTAATTTTTGAGGAACCTCCATGCTGTTTTCCACAGTGGCTGCACCAATTCACATTTCCACCAACAGTGCACAAGAGTTCCTTTTTCTCCACTCCTCACCAACACTTGTTATTTGTTGTGTTCTTGATTTTAGCCATTCTGACAGGTGTAAGGTGATACCTCATTGTGGATTTGATTTGCAGTTCCTTGATGATTAGTGATGGTGAGCATCTTTTCATATGTCTGTTGGCTATCCATATGTCTTCTTTGGAAAAATTCTATTCAGGCCCTCTGTCTATTTCTGTACTTATTTTTAAAGACTGACATTCACTTACTTGAGACTTTCTAAAAGCAGCCTTTGAAAGAGGCTGTAGTAGCAAACAAGACCATATTTAACTGTTCAATAAATTTTTTCTTAATTATTAAGGGCAAAGTGGGAAAAGTTAGGACTGCTTGGAACCTGAAAAATATATATATTAAAAAGGACCAAAAGATTTTAAATCTCAGAAGACTATAAATAGTAATAGTAATAACAACAATGGGGCATCTGTATAGAATTGTTAACACTTGAAGAATCTCACAGAGGTGTATGGAATTTTAGTGTACTAATCTTGCTACTTATCAATAGGTTTGACATTTTTTTCAAAACAAAAAGCTACCAGTGTATTTAATTTTACCACACTCACACAAAAAGATTTTTTAAAAGGTTACCAAAAATACTCTCAAATGACCAACAATCTTTTTCTAGGTTACTGATGAAGAATAACTTTGGTATTAATGTCCCTGTCCCTCATGTTTCTGTTCCTCCTCCCCTGAAGTCCAGCATTAATTGCATTTTCATAAAGACTGCATTCAACAAGTCAGTCTTCCCACAAATCGTCCCTGCAGCTTTGTTCACGTGCAGCTCTCTTGGCCACATTGAAGTTGTCCAGTTTCTTTCTCTTAACTTTGAAGTGTCTTTTCCATTAAGAGGTCAGATTTGGGTTAATTATTCCAAATGCACAATCTTTTGTAGAATCTTTTTCCACTTTTCGAAACTGTTGAGTTATGACCCTAATTAACTGTGTGGTTGCAGTTTTGTACTGTGTTAAAGGCTCACAGTGTATGAAAAGTGATCCCCCAAAAGAAGAGATATTAGCAATAAGAAATGTCTCTGACACCTGACACAGAGCCTGACATATAATTAGTGCCCCATGACTATTTATTGAACCAATGATGGATGTGTCAATGACTAACATTAATTACTTACAACCTATCACGTCCTTGGACTAAGGACTTGCTCTGTATTCTTCATGAATCCTCACAACAGCTTTGTATGAGCTGTGCACTTCAGCACATACCTATTGTCAGTGTACCCCAGCTCTCCTATGTCAGTCCCCCAAGAGAGGTCCCCATCAAGTGGGTCATGATCGACCAGTTACTGCTTTGGATTTTTGCTGCCTGGGCAGTTTTGCATTATCTGGAGAGTGCTTTATATATAGTGTACCCCAACACTCATTTAACTAATAAAATAATAGAAGAGATCATAGGTACATAAAATAAAAAATAGATATCCAAACAGTAGGTTCTGTATGACTTTGGAATATGTCGTATAAATTTCTCAATGCAAATTGACTTTTGTTTTCTCCTAACAATTGAGGATCTTTAGAGACATGACTTAGATGCTTGTCTTTGGATTCAAGAAGACCCTAAAAGTATCCTTTTAGACATTACAAACACATACATACACACACATATTTGATACTTTGTGTTCTATGTTTTATACACTATTATACATTTGTATGTTTATATATGTGATATATGGCATTGACATTTTAGAAATACAGTGTATCATATTTTGGGAATATGATATATTGTACTTCATCTCATACTGTTTTTCTCCAGTAAGTCATGAGGGAAAAACTTTTGTCTGGTTCACCAGTATAACTTTGCATCTAGAAATATGCCTGGACTGTAATAGGCACTTAATAAATGTTGTAATTAAAAAGCAAATGCTTTGGGGGGTGCCTCGGTGGCTCAGTCAGTTAAGCATCTGTCTTTGGCTCAGGTCATAATCCCACGGTCCTGGGATCAGCCCCATGTCAGGCTCCCTGCTCAGCAGGGAGTCTGCTTCTTGCTTTTCCTCTGCCTCTCCCCTTGCTCATGCTCTCTCTCAAATAAATAAATTCTTAAAAAAAAAAGTAAATGGTTTGTACAGCATGGTGACCATAGTTAACAAAAAAAGTGAATGCTTTTCAATAAGAGGCTTATTGGGGCCTAATTTTATTTGTAGGTTAGTGAGTGTTCTTGTTTATTTTTGTTGTTGTTCTTGTTCTAGTTTAATTTAAATAGTCCTACTAATATTTAGTGATTGGAAAACTAGGTCTTAGTTTTGATTTCTCCTTTTTTTTTAGGAAGAATCCCCAGCACAAGATAGAATACAGACATAGTGCACTTCCAGGTAAGTAATTTTACTTCAGGAAACAAAATGAAATATTCAAATGATTCTCTTGTTAAACCTAGGTACAATTTCCAGTTATGTGAATTTTTTTTTATCTCTGCTTCTATGAATTTGCTGATTTTAATGATTTTCCTTAGATTAAAAAGAGTGATAAATTTTTTGTACACCAAATGTTTTCTACAATCATTGCACAACAATATATTTATCCTTATATCTTTTAGAATTCTCTCATTGACCAGTATCTGAAAACAAAATCTCAAACTAGCCTAAGTGATAATGAGAACTTACTGACTTCTTTAAGTGAAAAATCCAAAGTGTGGATGGATTTAGAAAAGATTTACTGCTTTGGCTCATTAGTAATGTCAGTAATGTCACCAATGACCCAATTTCCTTTCATCATTCTGTCTTTAGAGGGGGTCATTATCATCCTAAGACTGGCTCTTCCCCCCACAAAGGGACTATATGAATTACTGGGATCACTGATGAGTTTGTACCACCCCTGGAACTAGGGTAGGGTCTCCTTCTTCAGAACCACAGGGATGCCTGACGGAAACTAAAGTTTTGGGGGAAAGAGAGCGAGGGAGGACAGATACCAGAGAAGCAACCATCAAATGTCCTTCAGTCCGAGGTGCAGGCATCCATTCTACCTTCTCTTTTCCCAGTTCCAAACTCGAATACTTTTTACCTTTAACAAATTCTGGCTTCTTCATATCATTTATATAATGCAGAGGCAAATTTGGCACACAGTATTTCTGCCCACAGAATGAGAGAAGAAAATGCATATTCTGTAGGCTATGACCCCATGCACATGTATGTGCATAAACACAGCCCCCTTGTAACCAAGTGATAAAAATAAGGAATTTCACCATAAGAGAATTCCATTTGAAATTTCTCATTGAAACATACTTTTCGTGCTTTAGTACTTCAGACACAACTCATTTTATCTGAGCTAATAGGTTATAGAGGTTATATGTTATGTGTTATACTTTTTTTTTACTGGGGCTATATCTAATGATGTAGCATTTCTGGTGGTTAAATAAACTTTCTTACCAGGAGTCATGTAATGTATGTTGATTAAAGCATATTTTATTGGCAAGGTTTAACACTGTCCCATGATAATGCATTTGACACATCTGTATCTTTATAGAAATAAGAACCATTTTCCTAGGGGCGCCTGGGTGGCTCAGATGGTTAAGCGTCTGCCTTCGGCTCAGGTCATGATCCCAGGGTCCTGGGATCAAGCCCTACATTGGGCTCCCTGTTTGGCGGGGAGCCTGCTTCTCCCTCTCCCTCTACTGTTCCCCCTGCTTGTGCTCTCTCGCTCTATCAAATAAATAAATAAAATCTTTAAAAAAAAAAACCATTTTCCTAAAAACTATCAATGTGCATCAGATGGCATAGTTTAATCTGAGTTTTCTTTGAAAAGTCTCTATGAATTATCATTAGGGAATCTTCTGAAGGAAGAACATATTTTTACAACTGACTTTTTTTAACAGAAGCTTTTCATTTCATTGGAAAGCCAATTTTTATAAAAGTGTAGATATTTTTAAGCAACATTTAATTTAATTTTTTTAAAAAAGATTTTATTTATTTATTTGTCAGAGAGAGAGGCAGAAAGAGAGAGCACACACAAGCGGGGGGGAGCGGCAGGCAGAGGGAGAAGCAGGCTTCCCGCTGAGCAGGGAGCCCGATGCGGGGCTCGATCCCAGGACCCTGGGATCATGACCTGAGCCAAAGGCAGACGCTTAAGCTACTGAGCCACCCAGGCATCCCAACATTTAATTTTATATTTTTAATCTACTTTTAAGGGTTGTTATGTGGCGATATTGTCAGAACACTCTTTCTACTCTAAAACTTATAAATTAAGGTGTCTGGAGTATTTCCAATCTTAAATTAAATGTTGGGGTCTCATATTTCTTAATTTAGAGATATCTAACACTGAATTCTAACGTCCTTGTTTTTTTCATCTCCCGAATCCTTCAAGTTTAACATCATCCAAGATCTTAATCTCGTTTATATAGATTCAGTATACACTTATTGATTCATTATTGTGTCTTCCAAGTGAGCACAGTTAACAGAGATCCGTGAGACCCAGCTCTGGCTCTGTGTGCTTGTGGCAGGACGGTCTAAAATCTCTGAGGAGAGGGAGGAAGCACTTTCTGCTGGGGCTTACCAGGGTAGAGCACGGTGTGGGAATTTAGGCTAAGTTGGTCGTTAAGGTGGTTGGATTTAAATCATCTTTGTTTCTTAGCTCTGTGGTCGGTAGATAGAAGATATCCCAGAAAAAGTGAGTCATGGATCAGTGAAGGACATCGAGGTAGAAGATGGTAAGTGGTGTGTGGAGTTAGCAAGTGGATCAGTTTAACTAATACGGAGAGTGTCTGTAGTTACCGTGGATGATACTAAAAAGATGTATGGAGGCCAGATTATAGAAGCTCTTGAAAACTAGACTAAGATGTGGGTGCGTTGGCATGTAATGGTGAGGTGGTATTTTATCCAAATCAAGTTGGTAACAATGAGCCATCTGAGTTAGAGTGGGGAAAGGTTTCTGATGTCAGGCAGTTGAATAAAGGGCCAGAGCTAGGGTGGCTACCATGAGAATGGAAAGATAGGCATGGATACAAGTGAGATTTTGAAGGAAAAATCAGTCAGATTTGCCAACTAATTGGTTTGGGGCCTGAGATGACATAAAGGAAATAATGATGCCTCAGAATTATAATACAATTTATCAGGAGACTGGGGATGACATTTACATATCATAGAGATCAGGAGGAAGAGCCAGGTAGTTGTTGTTGTTGTTGTTTTAATTTAAACATGTTGAATTTGGGCGCCTGGGTGGCTCAGTTGGTTAAGCGACTGCCTTCGGCTCAGGTCATGATCCTGGAGTCCTGGGATCGAGTCCCGCATTGGGCTCCCTGCTCGGCAGGGAGTCTGCTTCTCCCTCTGACCCTCCCCCGTCTTGTGCTCTCTCTCAAATAAATAAATAAAATCTTTAAAAATAAATAAATAAATAAATAAACATGTTGAATTTGAGGTGGGGGTATCATAACTACACAATGAGACAATAAAATTTAATATGGTACTGGTGTTAAAATAACTGCATTGAACTCTTACTATTTAACTTCTGATTTGTAGCACTCCTAAAACATTTCTGTCTACAGAGTTCTTCCACACATGTAACAATTTATGTAGTGTATTTTTTTTTTTTTTGTAGGTTTGACTGCTGTCATCTCTTAAGTTTCTTATATATCTAATTGGTTTAAAATTTCACTAACTTTCCACACTTTTTTTTAGAATTGCTGTGGTTTTGGCACAAAATACTGAATGCAAGAGTAATCAATGCCAGGAAAATTTTATTTTATACTTTCTTAGCTACCTTACCTGTTGACAACATTAAAAAAAAATTAGCACCAGCATTTTATTATCTGATTATTGGAGTCATTCTGGCTTTTATTATTATGTGATATGCGTTATTCTAGGCTATAGGTACCATCCATGGCTGAAAATTTTTTTTTAAAGGTTTTATTTATTTATTTGACAGAGAGAGACACAGTAAGAGAGGGAACATAAGCAGGGAGGGGGAAGCAGGCTTCCCGTGGAGCAGGGAGCCCGATGTGGGGCTTGATCCCAGGACCCTGGGTTCATGACCTGAGCTGAAGGCAGATGCTTAATGACTGAGCCACCCAGGCTCCCCATGGCTGAAATTTTAGAATGTTCTACTGATAGTTATTTTAATTTCTCTCTAGTTCTGCAGTTGTATGCACACATTTGCTTATATATTCTTTTCTTCCAGAAGTAGAACCCAAAAGTTCTAGAAAGCTATTGTGGAAATTAATGGAACTTAAATGAGATTCTATAAACTGCTGCTTAGTGTGGGGAAATTGGAGAGATTTGGGGATACAAAAAAGGCTAGTGCAGTGGGATTTAAAAAGAGGAATAAACTTCATGTATAATAAAGTAGATCAGAATACACAAGCTGCTTTTCCAAGGCTAAACTATGACTATCCAGCTAGTAGCTTGGTGCATGAGAAAGATGTGTCTTTCGTAGTAAAATGAAGTATTTAAAAAAGTGTTTATTCTTGTAGTATGTAGTAGATTTTCATCTTTAGAATATTGGGCTAAAAGTTTTTTTACTTAATGAGAATTAATATCCTAATTAGTTCTCAGATTTACTGGTAAAGAAAGGAAAATAAAATCTGAAGAATTATGATGTTAAGCTGTAAATCTGCTATGAGGCATCTCTTAGATGTCATCTAAGATGACGATCTTAGATCCTAACACCAGAAATCTGTTTGGAAAAATCAGCACTTTGGAACGATCTTTTCTCTCTGTAAAAATCAACATTTCTTCCAACATGCATTTGACACAGTGTACTCTTCACTAGCTCTTCAGACTTATGTTCTTAGGGTAAGAACTGGTCGTGAAATTTTAAACCGTAAAGAAAAGGTTAGATACAAACTTAGGAATTGTTATTCTGATATGACACATCCCTCCACATGAACAGAAATTAAGAAATGACCACAGCCTAATATCAAATAGTTAATCTTCTGTTGTTTTGAATACGTTAAAAGAGTTTGTTACTTTCCTTTTTTTTTTTTTTTTAAAGATTTTATTTATTTATTTATTTGAGAGAGAGAGAATGAGAGAGAGAGAGCACAGGAGAGGGGGAGAGTCAGAGGGAGAAGCAGGCTCCCCGCTGAGCAGGGAGCTCGATGCGGGACTCGATCCTGGGACTCCAGGATCATGACCTGAGCCGAAAGCAGTCGCTTAACCAACTGAGCCACCCAGGCGCCCAAGAGTTTGTTACTTTCCTAAAGGCGGTTCTTTTCCATCATGGAAGTCCAGCATTACCCATCAGTTTTTAAAACTAAGTGACCGCCTGTCCTGTGCTGCTTCGTGCAGTCAGGCTGTCATCCCTACGTTCCATATGACTTCACTGATTTGGAGAGAAAGTGATGATTCCTACTTTGGCCTTAAAACTAGAACTTTGGAGTCAGAAA